TGCCCGGCATCGCCGGCAGGGCAGGGCAGGGCGGTGGCCTCGCAGGGAGGGGGACAGCGGTGGGCAGCGAAGGCTGTTACTGTCCCGGGCAGCCCGCGGCAAGAGCCAGGAAGGAAACGCTTTTCATGTTCACACATGAAGCGTAAATGAATTATCCCCCTGGGAAAACAGAATTAAAAGAGGGAGCATCCTTTTTGGTACCGGCAAGGGGTCCGTGAGGGTGGCCGTGCGAGCCCCCTGCTTCTGGACCTCCACGAAGAGTCGCCACCGCAGGAGTAGAAGCCCCTTTGGCAGTAACTGAAGCCTCGTAACCGATTGCTGGAAGAACAGGCAGCGGTGAGATCGCACCCTTTATCTGGATGTGCAAAATCCTGTTTTCACCATCTCTTTGTGCTTTGGGGTCTTTAACATGGGAATTATTTCAAGCTCCTAATTGGATTTTTAGCTGGGTAAGAGATAGTACCGATTAGTGACATTTACTGATAAGATTCAGTAGCTAAAGTGAAAGGATTAAATAAGGACCAAATTAAGCAGCAGCAAGTAATTTAGCCCACGGATTTTTAGGGGCTCTGAGCAACTGTCTGTTTTCTTTTTAATTTCCCTGGTAAGTGGCTTTGGTTGTTGGGTTTTTTTTTTTTTTCTGTGTACCTTCTTTTAATTAAAAAGAATTCAACAACAGCGGCACTATGAGGCCTCTGGGCACTACAGGAAGAAATATTAATTCCTCCAAGACCAGATCTGCAGTTTTGCAGCAAAGGTTAAAAGGTGGCAGCCCTGAAATTAGGGAGAAAAAACAAAAACAAACAAACAAAAAAAACAAACTAAAAATAAAAAAGGTTAACCTGAATTGCAAACAGGCTGGAGTAGAGAAAAGGCTTTCTAGAAACGGCTCGAGTTTTGCTTTGTGTTCTGCTTTTCTGTTTCGCAATCAAGGCACACGTGAGCAGCCAGTCTGGTAGTAAAGACAGATTAAAGTAAAACAGGTTTTACTGTTTAGCTCAATTCAATTAAACACAATTGTACATAAAATGTTAATCATATGAGATTAACATATTTAAGTATAACGCGGAGGGGTGTATACATAGCTATTCTGGACGAGCACTTGCCTACCGACACAACCCCTCCTCTACTTTTTTATTTTTCCAGGCTCCATCTGACCTAAAGCCCCAGTTGCGTTCTCAGTCTCCACGTCTGGCGCTCCCCCCGCTTCGCCAGGAGCCGGGCGGCCGGTCCGTGCCCCGGGCCGCGCGGGGAGGCAGGGTTTATTTTTAAACGGTATTATATGCAGTCGAGTGTTGAAAATGTTGAAACAGTCCAATTTGTTTTCACTCTGTATTAGTTTTAGTTTCAGGCATAGCCGATCCCCATTCAGGTGCTATCAGATGACCAGTTACTGCTTAGTTAACTAGATGTAAAGTTTTACATATATATTAATGTCAATAGTTTTATTACAAGTTGTGTAAAATGGACTCTCTAGTTTAAAAAAAAGAAAAAAAAGAAAAAAAACAAAGAAGAAAAAAAAAAAATTAGGTCTCTCCTGAAATTGACTTTAGAGCATGGAAAATGATTTTACTGGATTCTGTTCAACTGTAATCGAAGAAAAAAATATGTATGTTGTAGAAAAAGTTGCAGAATTAAAAAAGATCTGCTTTTAATTTATTCTTTTTGTATTAAGAATTTGTATAGTTACCTTTACATTTTGCAAAACGGTGTTGTCAACACTTCCTTATTAAAGCATTTTCAAAATGAAACCTTGCCGTGGTCTTTCCAGGAGGGCACAGCGCGGGGGAGTCCTTACCCCGGCGACCTCCGCGCGTCCCTCGGCCCAGATGTGCGCGCAGCTGGCCGGGGCTTCCGAGGCCCTGACCGCAGGAAACGCGGGGCATCGGCCCCAAAAAGCCCATCCGTCCTGCAGGGAACCCCTCGCGCTCGGCAGAGCCCTGCTCGCCCCGTCGCGTGTTCCCTCGAGCTCTGGCCTCGGCGGCTCCGGAGGCGTCTCGGGCAGCGAGGAGCCGCCTGACTGATGTCCCACCACTGCAAACGGTCACAGA